GGCCCAGGAACATGCCAAATTTAAAGTAAAGCAGGTTTTTTGTTTGGTTTTTTTAATGTCTAGAAAAAAACTACAGTATATGAGTTAATGTTTGGACAATCCAACTGAGGAAAATATTTTTCAAGCAGGAAGTTTCTTGAAAGTTTACTAAACTTTCATGCAACGAAAATAAATGGCCAAATACCACGACTGAGAGAAGGTATGCATATGTCACATCATTCATGATTTCAGGAAGGACAAACTACATTGTGTAAAAAAATCCCAAACCAAGGTTCTTGGCCTGGTTCAGTTCCTAGCTCTGCCCCAAGCTTGTGTGGGACTGTGATCATTTTGACTTTCAATTTCCCTCTCTGTACAACCTGACATAATAGTCCTTGATTTTTAGGATTCTTCAATACTATTTCTCTACCTCACCAGATCATGGTCATAGAGAAGTAGGGCTGGAAGAGACCTCTCCAGAGGTCATCTAGTCCACTCCTTTGCCTGAGGATAGATTACATTAATTGCTTTCTGCTTAAAAGTTTTCTGTTCATAAGTTCTCTAAAATCTGTAAATTTGTAAAGCTGACTAGAAACATGCACTGTTTCGTGGGGGTGTGGATAGTTTTAGTCCAATTTTGGGAAGTCTCATGAGCAAGGGCTGTCAAGACAGTGTCCTCCTACCCCCCCCCCTGCATTTTCGCAAATGCATGTTCCTCCTATTGTTTACTTATGCCACCCAGAGATTGCTATGGCTCTGATCTTCCCCAAGCTGTTCTCAATCATTCAGGATTGAGGGAAGCAAAACTGTAAAATGTATTATGAGAAAGTCTACAACTCTAAGCCAACACGTACCCAAGAATAAAATAAGCATTTGCAACAAAACTAGGTCTCCACTGAAGAGAACATTTGTAGACAGTCTACTGTCACAATAACAGTGAGACTCCAGGTGACATGCTGTGGTGATTGAACATACACTGCAAATTTGGCAGCTTTCAGGTAACTGTAGGTGTAACTGTACAGAATGTTGGGGGGAATCAGCCAGTTAGAAGAGGTGCTTTACTATCATGAGAGCGGTATATGTACCATGGGACATGAAAAATGCTTTTTTTTTTAGTGAAAAGATGTTTGCATTTTTCAGTAAATATGCATAAGGAATCTGGTTAGTGACACTGTCAGGAGGTCCAGGTACTCCTTGTAGAGAGAATGCAAGGTTTAATTCAGATGTAGGCAACTCCTATCTTTTGCTCTGAAAGACAGGCATACATGAAAAGAGAGATCACATAAAAACCATTGTCACTGAAATTTTCTTAATAAGAATTTGCAAATTTCATTATTAACAAATAGCCACTAGGCTTCATAAAATTAATAACTTTCAAATGTCTCTAACATAAAAGCTAGTAACTAGGATCATAGTCAAATTTGTTTGTCTAAAATAAGTCCCTGAACCCTTGTGGTCTCTTAAAGTACTGCCTCCAACACAGGTGCTTAAACATCAAATGGCAGACAAGGTTCTTTGGGTGAATCTGATATCTTTTATTAGACCAACTTAAATAGTTGGAAAACAGTTTTTAAGCAAGCTTTCAGGTTCAAAAACACTTCGTCAGGCTGGGGAAGTTTCAGCAGTTGAGGTGTGCTCTTCCTGGATGGAATGAAAAGTAAAGAAGCCAGAGGCTGGGGTGGTATGCATACAAGATAGGCAGCCCGTGAATATCTCTCACCCTTTGAGGAATCAATGGGTGAGAGACAGGCTGGGTGTGGAGGGAGAGAAGGGGGTGAATAGTGAAGTGTCTGGGGAGTCAGATGTCAGGCAGGTTATAAATCCAATGTCTATATTTAGTCCATGATTTTTAGTATCCAGGAGGTTGATGAAGTGGAGTTCATAGGCTCATTGCTGGGAAGTGTTTTGTAAGTTTCCTTTGAGGATCAGGACTGAGAGATCGGAGGGAGTGGTTTTCTTGTGAGAAATGTGCCCCCACAGGTAACTGGGTATTCTTGTCTTTGATAGATTTCCGGTGTGTGTTCATTTTGGTGCGCAGTTGTTGTTTGGTCTCTCCTATGTATTTTCCATCAAGTCATTTGGTGCATTAGATGAAATATATTACATTTCTGGAATTTCTTGGCAAAAGAGGCAGGAGATAAGTTCTCCAAAGTTTCTTTTATATTAAGAAAGTTATACAACCAAAACAGAAAGCTCTTAGCTTACACTTCCAGAAGTTCCTAGAAAACTCCCTTGGTTCTAAAGACACTAACCTGCAGAAAGGATTTTGCAGAACTGGCTATCATACATGCAATGTTTTCCCATGTGCATGTACAGACACATGAAAAAGATCAGACAAAACCTTTGTGAAATACAGCCTGAAAAACCAGGGCCAAATTCTCATAACAGACATGACCTGAACTACAGGTTTCCCTTGATTTATGCGGTAGATGCATTCCTGGAGAAAGGCGCATAAGTCCAATTTGCATAAAGCAAATGCACTTTACAATGTAACAAATAGGGATAGGTTCCCATGGTGGTGAGGGAGGGTGGGAGGGAGGCTGGGATTAGGGAAGGAGTAGGGGGAGGGATGCTGCTTCCAGGGCTGCACAAGGCAGCAAAGCAGAGGGAACAGAAAGGCACTCACCCCAGCCCCAGCCGCAGCCTACTCCAGCTGCCTGTAGCTGCCCTGGTGCAGTTAGCTGGTGCAGCTGCTTCCAGGGCCGCTCCAGCATCAGCTGGGGTGAGTGTGGACAAGCGGAGCCCCTGGCAGCGCAGGGCACAGCACTCACCCCAGCCCTGGGAGCAGCTGACACCAGCTGCATGTAGCTGGGCTGCACCATGCCCCAAACCCGCCACGGCTCTGCTGGTCCCCACTCATGCCTTCCCGTGCTGGAGCAGCCCCAGGAGCAGCCAACACCAGCTGCCTGCAGCCACTGGAATTGCACTGTGGCCTGGTACAGGCAGCTGGTGTGAGCTGCTCTCAGGGCCACTCTAGCATAGGCTAGGGTGAGTGCAGACAAGCAGAGCCCCGGGCAGTGCAAGGCATGGCACTCACCCAGGCCCTGGCTCCAACGGCCGCCCTGGCTGCACCAGGAGGTTTGGGGCACAGTGCAGCCTAGCTGCTACAGGCAGCTGGTGTCAGCTGCTCCCAGGGCAAGTGCCACTCCCTGCACCACCCAGGGCTCCGCTGTCTGCACTCACCCCACCCCGTGCTGGAGCACCCCTGGCA